CAGAAAAAGAAAAGAAATAAAAAAGAAATGTTTTTTTTGTAAAAAAGAATTTTTGAGAAATGAAACAAAATAATAGCGTCAGAGTAACTTTGGCTTTGTATGTTGTTTTCAAAACATTACCAAGTTTAAAACAGTCAGCTGAGTCTAACCTACTATTCTTCAACAGCTCAACCAAACCAAATATGCATCAACAAGCACTAACGAAGACCACTCTCATAAGTTAGGCGCCTACAGCTCGATCGTCAACATAGTAGTTGTCAGAGAAGCAACATTTACTTGCAGCAAAAACATTACATGACGTCAAAAAATGGCTTGATAAATAGCCCATAGCCAATATGTATAGCAAGAATCTGTTAACAGTGAATGTAATAAAACTAAATGTCTAATGTTTCAAATAAAAGCAAAAGATGACGAAAACAATTCCTCGTAAGCCAATTAAGACCGAAAATGTAAACGGAAAACGCGATTATTCTCAAAGCAAAGTCTCAACTTTGAACCTAGTTGCTAAATATTTAGTGAAAAATTGATGACTTTATATTCAGGAATAAACTGCTGTCGTACACAACTAGCCCAGAACTTAAAACAGTTGTCTTAACAATTCTAAGAGTTCTGTTTGACTGCAAATAAAGAACAAAGAGTAAGCACAGAGTTATTAGCAGCAAGAAAGAATACTTCTTCTACAAACAAGGAGAGATGTTGAATGCAATATGCGCTCAGGAAGACCTTAGGAGTAACCAATAAAAACGAAACAAAATCTGTAGAAACGTTTACACTTCGAAGACACGTAAAAAAAGTCAATTTACGAGTCGTTAGATTTGAGCGAAAAAAAAAAACTGCGGATACTTCATAACTAATTTAAATATCACTACTTCTTACATGAACTATCAAAGACTGTTTCAACAATTAACTTTCACTGTTTACCACAACTTATGCTAGTTATTATTTTGAGTATATTTGCTCTAAACCTTTGATCAGTTTTATTTTTCAAATACATCACTTTTAATTCCTTGTTTTCTAAAGTGTGATCGAAATCTTTCATGACTTGCTTCATAAATTCCTCAAGTCTAAAATATATCAAATAATCTGATCTGGAAATGAAAGCGCATGTGAAAAGTGATACAACAACCAAAAAAATGTGCATTCAGAAAGACCAGGTCTTTCACAAAAGAGAACTTTTGATTTCACAGACTTTATCCAGATGTGTTGCTTATTTTTTGCCTGGTAGCTACTTGATTGTACCACTTATTTGATAATTTCACCGCGGAGATTAGTAAGAAAAGCAGAGGTTTGACCAGATTAAAGACAAACTCAGCGAACAAATATGTAAAGAATTTAAAAACATTTAAGCACGAAAATGAACGCTGTTAATAGATTATTTTTCTTTTTAAATTTTATGGAACAACTTGTCAATTAGAACACTTCTCGTAGCTTTAATATGTGCCTTTGAAATGAGTTCTGAGTTCAAATAAGTAGCAAAATGCATAAACTCGCTTGTATAACCTGAAAAAAGTCGCAGAAAAGTATTATGCAATTCACAGTTTGAAACCAGTCGTACCAAATAGAGAATAGAGAATTGCTCTTAAAGTATTTGTTAAAATGCTACATAGTCCTGAAAGCGGCGGCCTTGTCTTACGTCTGAACTCTACAAACGCTAATAAAAAATCGTCATCTTGACAGAACAAATGCTCACAGAGAACAAACAGTAAAACCTTCATAATTACTGTTCAAATCAAATACAATACAGCAGCAAACGTGTTACTTATAATATTTTTAAACGTTTAGCAGGCATATCTTAGATTTATATAATGTAAAACTTTGTTCTATCATCTTATTTTCTTCAATTAAATTTTAATTTGCATTTATGCTATACTTCACTTTTGGTGGTTTCTTTTTCAGAATTTCAATTTGCTAATGATTGTAACTTCTACTGCAAAATATTGTAAGACGGTCGAATTATTTTTGAAAAACTACTGAACGTGAACAAAAAAAAAAACTAACATCTTTGATCAATTGTTTTTTTACGCACATTTTCTTTATTGACGTCAAAATGACTAGCGAATTAAGCAAAAATTTTGCTGAAAAGCGAAATTTAAGCAAAGTTCATATGTCAGCCTTAAATTTATTTATAGCGACATCACTTCCGTAGTATCCAAAATGTTTTCAAACATGTTTAATCGTAAAAATACAGCACTAAGAATAGCACCGTCTTGGTTACTTTCACCCATCTTTCTAAAAAGCCGAATTTAGTCTGACTTTTTTATTCTAATGTACAAATGTTCTTTCAGTGTAAGTAAGACTTTAATTGACAAAAAACAGCTTAATCAAAGTTACAATTATTCTTATTATACTTTACACAGTTACTAATATTTTCGATTTACGGGAACAGAAAACTTGATAAAAGTTGGTTATCCTAGTTCCAAAAAATTGCAACTGTAAAAACAGAAGACAACAATTTTTCTTTGTCGCAATTAACGAATTCCTAACGAAACAATAAAAATTGGTGATTATGCAGAACTCAAATATTTTGCTGTGTTGACCGCGACACAAAAGTAAACTTGAAATATCTGCTGGCAAACCAACTAAATGGTTTACAAAACTCACATAGTGAAATCTCCAATTTGGTCTGCTTGAAATGAATGAGTATTAAAAGTTGAAATGTTAGGCTATGTTACACTGCGTACCGACTACTACTCTGCAGAGACACCTTAAGTGAATTGATGGTCTCAATCCTAACTTGTTTTCAAATCCAACAGGAAATTCTTTTTTCAGGAACAAACACCATCTGTTTCTGCGACTTCAATACACAGCAAGTTATCTAGATTGCTGTTGAAGCCTTGATATGAGGAATATACCATCCATATCGTCAAATAAACTATTATATACCATTCATATCGTCAAAACTGTAATTGCTTTTCAAGTCTTCGACGGTATACAGCAGCAATAAATAACTGCCATCACATCCGACCGATTTAGAAGAAACTTCCGTCGGCAGATTTAAGGTAACTGACATTAGGTGTTCAGCAAGTGTTTTTTCTATAGTCATTATCATTGTGCGACCAAAAAATGACGACAATACGAGATATTTCAATAAATTTGAC